GCAGCTGGATGGATGGAGGCTGGAACAGAGTGGTGCGGAGGCCTCCAGCAGATTGGGTCAGGCAGAGCGGAGATCCACGTGCTCTGAGTGTGTGACTGACACACTCCTTGCACCAAGCTGACACCAGGACAAGCTGAGCCCTCCGGCAGCCAGCCACAGCCCCAGCCTTACCTCCTGCATGCTGTGCTGCCCTGCCAGAGCCACGCAGCAGGCACGCCTTGTTATGTAAGGTTGCTCCAGGATGCCTCTTGCTCAGCGTCGCAGCTGCAGAGTGATGGATGTGCTGGAAAATGCTTTTCATTGTCTCTCTCATTAGGGAGACAAGAGCTCTGCAGAAGGCATCTCTGATCCTATGCTGCTCGAGGCTGCTGGAGTTCAACACAAAGCCACGTAGAAAAAGGGTTGTTCAGCATATGGCACTGTAAGCAGATGTATTGATAGGGCTGTGGCTTACCCTGCACATGGGGACGCAGGGGAAAGAAAAAGCAAAGAGCAAAGATCTGTTCTACCCAGGTAAAAAACATTTTGTTTCTTCACCTGAATTCAAACATCACGGTCTTGTCTCTTCAGCAGACAGCACTGACCCACGCCAGAAGTGCTGGTTACTCAAGACTTGAAGGTTTTTGCTTGCCTTTCTTTCAGAAGCTTCCCCCACGGATAGATACACTGAAAGGTTTTTGTTTATTTGAAATGTTTTCCCTTTCCTTTATCTGCAGTTGTTCCACGGATTCCTGGAAACTTACTGATGAAAAGTCTCTCAGCATCAGCAATGAAAGCTGCCTCTCAGATTGCATCTCCTGCTTCAGCGCCTTTCAGCACAGCACAGATGAGGAGTCCTGTCTCACTGGCATGCTCTGAGATCTGTTCTATCTCAACGTACTGCTCTCAAGTGCAGGCTGAAAATTGAGTAAAACTCTCTGAGGCCATTATTAGGTTGATGTCAGTCTTTGCTGTAACTTACAGAATGCTATCCTCCTCCCGATAGGTGGCAAGAAGATAAAATCCTGCTAATGCTATTGGCTTCTTTGAGAAGAAGCAATTTTTCAATTAAACGTAATTAAGAGCAATTACCCTTTATCTTCAGAGACCAGAACAAAGAATAATTAATCCATCCTAACATCCCTGTTAAGGAGGCTTTACGTATGGCTTCTTCACATAGCAGATCACACGGTAGCTTCTGTGGCCTGCTGCTCCCTCTGCTCTCACAGGCAGGAAGGAAAGAGAAAAGAGGATCCTGACCTAGCTGAACTGATATCCCAGGTTCTGCCTTAAGCATTGAGCTCAGAGCTCAGCAGCAGCTGTTTGCTCCTTGCAGCAGCTTGCTGCAAACAAAAAGGGCGCTGCCCACAGATCTCCTACTTGGAAGCAGTTTTACTACATTTGATAATTAAGAGCACATGGTTGCTATTAATCTAAAGAGAATGACCCTATTCTTGACTGTTGCAACAAAAAAATCTGCAAATTTCATTTTTTCATTATGCACTGATTATATTTGCATTAGCATTTATATGCTAAGGTGATGAAAAAGGATAGCTTTATTCCTAAGTATATTGATCTGAGTGCTCCTGAGCTAAAAAGGAAGGAGGGAAAATACAGAAAATGAGAGAGTAAAAAGGAAGGGACCAAAGTGAGAGAGAACACGTCCCAAATATTACATTAAAGCATCTACATGAAAGGCTCCAGGCCAACATGCTTACAGAATGCACTCTTCTGTGTCAGTGACCTTGTGAAGATAAACTGAACAAAAAGCTTCGGGCAGCATCACACAGAGGATTTAAGAAGCAGTTTTAATTTTAGGCAGATTGCTTTGTGTTCAACCACAGGGTTATCTGGGGATGCAGTGTGCATACAGTGGAACAAAACATAGCTGTCACCCTCATACCACACCTGATGGCGAGTTCAGCTCAGTGCTTCCAGGGGGAAGCAAAGGCTTTGGCTGTGCAAGGAAGATCAAATTGTGGTATCACAAGGATGGAGCACCAGCACGTCTGATTTTACTCCAGAATGTAATTAATTACTTGGCTACATTACGTGTGAGCAACATACAAGACTGATACTCCAACACAATGTGCTCTAACACGCTGGCTCCCTCTGCTCACATTGTGTCTTTGCTCCCTATCTCCAGCCTGACAGCTATTTACCACGAACAATTTGTTGAATCCTTTTGTACCTCTGCTTCCTTATCTACAAAATGCAAACCTAAATGCATCCTAAAAAGGATGAAGATTCACTGATCCCTGTCTTCCCAGTGAATGCACATGCTGGTGATTTTAATTATAGCGAAAACTTAGGAATTCTAAGAGCTGACTGCATGCAATGAAGGGTGTACATCAATCACAACGTTTACTGCAGCTTATTAGCACAATTAATTCTATACGATACAAATATGACTTAGCCCATAATCTGGAGATTACATACGTTGTGTAAACCCAAGACAAAGGCCTGGATCCCAAAGGCCCAGCTCTCAAAGGCCAACCCCACCTGGAGCAAACACCAGAACAGAGCCACTTCAGAGGGCACCAGGGCTCCATTCCTACAGCAGATGTAACCTCCCCCATTTTCTAGCCCCATCCTGCTTTTCAGATCAAGCAGGACGTGGCTGACAGGTTTAAAAGCCCCTCGACCATTTCTGATAAGTGTAGGGCATTTGGTTCACTGCCTGGGTAGGGTGAATTTGGCATCTGTTCCCAAAACTCATCTTCCCAATATGCATCAGCAGCTTGAGTCCAAATCTACAACTGCCCACGTGGCCACCCAGCATCCGGGCAGGATCCATGGGATATGGATGGAAGAAAACCTCAACAGGGAATCCTCTGAGGCCCCTGAAGCATCTGGCAGTGACAGCAACACAAGACCCAAATGACTCTGAAACATGCTTTGTCCTGCTCTCTAAAGCACATCCATTAATATCAGCCATTTGTAGCCTTTACTGTATTGTTCTCAAAATAAAATCACTATGCGAACCAAGATCAGAAAAAATCAGCCCAGGAGTTTGTTGGACTCACCCCTTTGTTGGACAATCACTGATGAAGCTATTATTCTTTATGCATTGATTAAGAGCCTTCTATCCAAAGTTCTCAAATAGCTTTATAAATCATTTCCAATGCACCTAGAGTGCATGTTGCCCCTGTCCTAGCACACTCCGACCTCCATAATTTCTATTTGATAAGCTATTCCAAGGCCATATAGTCTCTCTAGGTCTGCAGGAGAGACACCTATCCTCTCTCTTGGCAGCTCTCTGCAGCCAATCTTCAACTCAAATTGCATTTTCTGAATTTTTCTCTCTCCAACCCTATCTCAGGAGACAGTTCTTTCCCACCCTGGCCATGTAACTCAGTGTCACTTATGATTGCTTCTTGAATCACTGACATGAATCAATACAGCAAAGCTTGCAGAGGACAGGGTGAGGAGGAAAGAAAACAAACGAGGAGGTGTTAGAATCTTTTAGTTCTGGGCTGTCAGTTCAGCAAACTGTGAAGCCTGACCAGATCTGCACGCCTCGTGCTGACACGAGCGCTGTCTGCAGGGAGCTGTGGTGGCTCAGGGCTGCTATGTGCATCATCCAAATCAACAACAGGGAACTGAAGGCCATATCCTACGTCAAATGGAGCAGGACAGAGCTCTCTCACCACACTGCTCTCTCTTTGCACCGTGTCTCTCCTAATCAGCTTTCTGGACCGAAAACTGAGGCTTTCACAACGCACGGGGCCGTGCCTGTAGCACGCACAGTGCACACGTCCTATCGGATTATAGGGCACAGTGCACTCACGCGGGCTGCTGGTCGGAGCCCCAGCTGTGCCTCTGCAAGAACAGGGAAACGAGGAGGGCAGCAATCATAGAATCATAGAATGGCCTGGGTTGAAAAGGACCACAGTGATCATCTCGTTCCAACCCCCTGCTATGTGCAGGGTCGCCAACCAGCAGACCAGGCTGCCCAGAGCCACATCCAGCCTGGCCTTGAATGCCTCCAGGGATGGCGCATCCACAGCCTGTTTTGGCAACCTGTTCCTGTGCATCATCACCCTCTGTGTGAAAAACTTCCTCCTAATATCCAACCTAAACCTCCCCTGTCTCAGTTTAAAACCATTCTCCCTTGTCCCATCACTATCCATCCTTGCAAACAATCGTTTACCCAAGCAGCTCTATTCCTGTTTCCTTCCATTTTCTCTTTGTAGACATTCACCAAGGTTTTATTTTCCACTCTCACTGGTCATAAGCCAGCAACAGCTCCATGATTTCTAAGTTGCAGCAGCATAAGAGAACAGCCGAGCCCATGAACTCCTGTAAACTTTTTGAGTTTACAATGACAGCAACCCGAACAGCTCGGAAGGCAGGGAGGGGAACAGCACCGCACTGCCAGCTCCCAGCTCCTCCTGCACAGCAAAACCACGCGGGAACCCCACGGAGTGACGGCTTCGGTAGCACACAGAGACGCGGGGCCAGCCGGAGGCGGTGTAAGGATCTGCGGGGCGGAGGATGGAGCCCAGCCTGCTGTCAGAACGCAGAGCAACGCAGAAAAGGCCTGCTACCTGCTGGTATGTATCACAGCGCCTTTGTTCGCAGCACACAGGTAAAGGCCTCGCAGCAGCCGTGGTGCTTTTCTCCACGAGGAATCCCCGTCAACGCTGCCTGAAGGCGGCGGGGGGGTGAGGAGAGCCGGCAGCACCTGTGTCACGAGGCGGGAGTTTAACACCCAGGACAGGAGTTGCTCTGCCTTTATCATTGCTCTGTCCAGAATTAGGGCCGTTAAGGGCGACGTTTCCACTCCGAATTAGCCGTGAGGCGCTCGGAAGCCCCGCCGCGCCTCGCACCGCTTCGCACCGCCTCACATCGCGCCTCGCACCGCGCCTCGAGCGCCCCCGCGCGGCGGCTGTGGGGAACGCGGCGAAGCGCGGGAAGCATCGCGCATGCGCAAAGCCACAGCCAGCCGGCGGAGGAAGGAACGCAACGCGCAGGCCGAGCGAGGACGGGAAGTCCTTCCTCTTTCCCCGCCCCTGCGCCGCGGCGATTGGCTGCTGTGAGCTGAGGCCGCTCGCTCATTGGCTGGGAGCATCGTCCGCCCGGAGGGGCCCGGCGGCGGCATGGTTCGCTTCAAGAACAGGTGAGGCCGCGGTGGGGCGGCGCGGTGCCGCTCCGCCGGCAGCTCACGGCGCGCCGCCGCCCGCAGGTACGTGCTGTGCGAGGTGCTCTCGGAGGACCCGCGGTGCCGGCAGTGCATCGAGGACCGCGCGGTGGGCCTCGCCGTCAGGGACGCCATCGCGCGGGCGCACGGGGACTACGGGCTGGGGTGCTGCTGCGTGTCCTTCACAGGTAGCGGGCCGGGGCCGCGGGGGCTCGGCGGGGCGGGGCGGGCGCTGACGGCCGCGTTCGGCCCGCAGTGAAGTACCTGAACGCCTACACCGGCACCGTGCTGCTGCGCTGCCGCAAGGACTTCCAGCGGCTGCTGAGCTCGTCGCTGCCGCTCGTCCGGCACCTGGAGGGCCGCGGGCAGCGCTTCCCCTGCGCGCTGCGCACGCTGCACGTGGGCGGTGAGTGCGGCACCTCCGGGGGGCTGCGGGCGGGGGGTGCGGGTCCGACCGTGGCACGGCCGCCGCTCGGCACCTGCGCTGCTGATGGGCGGTAGGACTGCGCTGCGGTGCCGCGTGCTAAAACAGCGCTCGGTTCCACGCACCGCTCTCGCGGCTCCTGCAGGCACCATCAGAACCTGTCAGAAGTTTCTCATCCAGTATAACAGAAGGCAGCTGCTGCTGCTGCTGCAGAAGTGTACGAATGAAGGTGAGTTCCTCCGGCCCCGCGGCTCCGCTCGTGGGGCTGCAGCACGACTGCTGCTGTGTCTTTTGGCAGAGGAGAGGCGCAGCGTGCGGCAGGCGGTGCTGAGCTGCTCGCTCACAGAAGAGCAGGCACAGAGCGGGGAGGAGGAGGAGGATGGCACGGAGACAGACTGAGCAGCACTTGTTCACCTTTGTTCTGCATCTGCGTCGTTGAAGTGATACCAAGTATCTTCCCGTGCTAAGTAAAGCAAGGAAAGGTGCTTTTCCTATCTCTACTTATATTTCGTTTCTCCAAGTATTCTTAAATAAAATCATTCAAAAAACCACAAAAGATTACACTTCAGTAGGTTTCTTGCCTCTTTTATTCCAGGATTCAAACCTTTGACTGCTCCTAAGGAGCAAAGCTCAATGTGATCTTTGTGCTGAGGTAGAAGTGAGCTTTAGGCAGTTGGCATGGGAAAGAAATATAGTTACGCTCCTTTGGTACAGAGAGCAATAACTGCAGTTTTTAACCTTATCTTCCAGTGCAGCTGTTCTTGATAGGGTTGTTTAGTGCTTCAAGTCACAAAAGCACTGATTGTCTACACAGGAGCATAGACTACAGGGAACACAAGGTGGAACTACACAGCTCAGCTCCATCCAACCCACTTTAAAACTCATAGGTACAATTACTGCTTAGATATTTATTAAGGTTACACCAATCGGTTACAGAAAAGTAGCACTGCTGCTCACATCTCTTGAATCCATTGGAAAACAAGACATAACTTGAAGATCTGCCCACTGGAGACTGCCCCTGCACACAGAACAGCCTTCTTTACCTGCACTTCTTGCCTTACTTGTTAGAGTGCCTGTGAGACAGGGAGGTGAGTTGTACCAGCTCCAACTCCTCTCTCTTGTCAACACAAAGAAAACTTGACTATAACAGTGTAGGAGATAACGAACAACATAGACTGGTTAGACACTCAAGTAGTTACTCCTGTTCCATGGCTTAAAATGACTGTTACAAGTAAGAAACAATAGCATTGTGAACACAGTTAACTGCATACTTGAATTTTTTTTTTTTATTTAATGGCTTTCTGTGCCCTCTCACCAACAATTTTCCAATGTGCATTAACAACAAGCTGTGTGCCACTCCTAGGCACTTTGTTTCTTTATATTCCCTTAACAAGCTGTGCTCTTTCCCTCAAGTGTAGTTGTGACCAAGTGTGAAATTAAGCTGCTTTCAAAGAACATTTTGCAAGTGTTTCCTCTGTTCTCCCCTAGTAATAGAAACATTCTTGCCCTCCCCAGTCTTCCCCCTCTTTCTGGCTCTCAGCTGCAGTGTTTTGTGCTCTTTGGTACTCAGGTGCCTAGAGGAAGCACCTGCAGAAGGAGCCTCTTTTTTTTTTTTTTTGGACACAAAGCACCAATATACTGACAGACTTTTTAAGGTAGGAATAAAACCAGTGAACATACCAGTGATGTGAGGATACCTAACAGACGTTTCAAATCCATGGGATCCTTGCTTAAACTGGTCACAGCACAGAAGAGAGAGTGGGCATAGGCTGCTTCTCAAAGGAAGCACATAAGCTTTTCAAAAGCTATGTGAATGCATTTCTTGTGAGGCTGAATATAACAGAAGATACCTGTCACTATGTTACGTGTTACTTCAGACCAGCTTCCTGAAAGGAAATTAATATGATGCTAAATTTGCACGTGTTACCAAAAGTGGTGCGACACTGTGGTGATACAAACTTAGAGCTCAAAAAGTCTGCAGTATTGTAAGTGTGCGCATATGATTTATTGCAACTGGTGGCCTTGACTGGTACATTACACCTACAGTTCATTTTATTTAACAAAATCCACACCACTTAACTCATTAGCTTCAAATCAAACAAGCAGTGCAGAATGCAACCACCCAAAGAAAGAGGAAGGAGGGGTCCAGAAGAAGCATGTTTATAGCCTGAGGTGCTTACTGCAGATCAGCTCACATCCCAGAACCAAGCAGATACAGGACTTTATCCCAGTGCAAGAGATCCATGTTTCTTGCTGGGGGATAAAAGTGTCTACACACTCCAGCTATCAGTTGTTTCTCCAATTCAAGAGCAGCCAGTATCAAAATATAGTTCACCTATTTACCAAGAGCCCTAAGGTGGAGTGTTTACTCTGGATGATCATCAGGTTACAAAGAATTTGTTAGCCATGGTTGGCAAAAGGAAAAAAAATTAGCAGCCTCATTCAACCCACATTAAAACAGAGTTAAACAACTGAGATAAGCCAGGAGTTCCTTCTACCACTAGTGCCAGTATGCACTTTGAAATACACAATTTCAGCAACAGTCACTTCAAAACCAAGTAGCCAAGTTCTGCTTCACACTCACCTCAACTTTAAGCCTTTCAAAGCCAGGAGAACAGAAGGAATTCTTGCTCTTTAGAAAAAGAACAGATAGCAGCTAACACTTGAAAGCCAGAAAGCTCTTTTGCCCCAGTGCAGAGGAAACCAGTTTCCAAAGAAAGCAGTTTAACAGCTTTACTGAAACAGCACTCACAATCGAGACAGACTTCTGTCTGTGTATTTCTGCGGGAGGTAAAGGCTCTCTGTCTCTTTACTTAGGCAATACTGCAGCACTCTGGCAGTACCATACAGATGTAAACACTTTCATACTGCTTACTAGGCCAAAAGAACTGACGTGGTACAGACTAAAAGCCTTGGCTGAAGGATCTCTGGGTTTTTTCTTTCAAAACTTTGTTTCAGTATAAACCAATTTGGTAAGCTGGAATAAAAAAAGGAATCTTCAACATATATTGTCATGGTTTCCTCCTGAACCCCCTAGAAGCCCTGGAAAAACAAGTTAGGCTGTTCAAATTTAAATACTTAAACTATAGCAGCAAAACAAAGCAAAATGAAAAGAAAACCAGGAGAGGAAACTTCTCTCGAATAGCAGAATCACTTTGTGTGAACAACAGAGGTGCTGAACAGTAGCTTCTGCTTCTGTTTCTTTCTTTTCTTCCCTCCTTTTTCCTCTGTGAAGAAGGAAAAAGACACTGTCATTCTTCTTGTGGAATAGGGATATCACACAAAAAAACAGTGCTAACTGGAGATCTACTAAGCTCCCTCTAAGATAATTGCTTTGAGCTACCAGAAGCCCTAATCAAGTGGTTCATAAACCACAACCTGTTACTTTTCAGACCTGCTTTGCAGCCAATTTTTGATCCCCAAAATTGCTTCTCTTACTTGTCCCGGAGGGAGAAATATTCATTTTTTTCTTGCTTCAGAATTTTCGGAAGCCTCCCCTCCTCACCTGATAAATGATCAGCTGTGGACGGTTTGTCCAGTTTCAGAAGGGCAGCCTCAATAGCTTGGCTGAAGGAATTCTGGAAGCTGGGCACAGGTATGCGGTCAGAGCTGTCACTTTCTCCATCGCTCTCCACTGGCACAGGGAGTGCCAGAGTGTTCTCATCTGAAAGAAAGGGATATGTAAGACTTTCACAGTGCAAATGCCTTTCCCCCACTCCAGATGTTTCTCATTAAGTTGCAAAATTTCCTTAAGATTTAGATGCACAGAAAAAAAAAACAATGTAGTAATATTGTTTTCTTACCCTTTGTCTTTGGGGCAGGTTTGGGCCACGCTTCAGGTTTTGCCTTTCCAACCCTCAACATCTATCAAAAAAGTTGTAAGATCTGATTAAATATCATGCATCAGAACAATCCTGCTTATGCCCTAAGTAGCAGGAAAACCCAGGAATACATCCAGCCTCCAAAACCCTACATCTTCTCCTTAAGATTTATCCCACATTGCAATTGTGTTTTCAGACTCATCCATTAAGATACAAGTAATTCTGACAAGATTTGCTCTGCCATGTCTCTTACCTGGGCAAAGGATGGGAACGGAGACTCTTCTTCTAAACTCCCAGAGAGTGATGGGCTGGCCTGGCTGGCAGCAGGAGAAAATGGAGTTGGAATAGAATCTACCAAGAAAAGAAGTGGTTAAAGCCAGGTGCATTTCAGCAAAGGCACTTATTCAGCTCATAAATAAGAAACAGAAATAAAGGATTTTATTATCTTCTGTTTTATCTCACTGGTTCCATCCATTAATCACACAGGGGGAAGTTTTTAATTTAAATAAAAGATTGTGGGGTGCTTTTTGTTCTGTTTCATTTCTGGGTTGTTTTTGTTTATTATTAAGTGCTGTTTTTACAATAAGTTCTATTTAATGTTTTTTTAAGAACTGCAAGATACAACATTTGGAGACGCATCACCAGACAACAAGTGGGGTGCTTATCAGTTATGTTTTGCTACACCATGGGGAAAGATGAAGAAAGAAGAAATGCCAGTAGAATATTCCTGGCACACATACATTTCTGCCTTTCCCCAACTCTGTTCCCTTTTTTCTCTTCTGGGTCAGCAAAGATTTAAAAGATGCTGTAACTACAGTGTAGATATCATTGTCGCTACAGTAGAGACAGCAAAAAGCAAATCCCTTAGCAGTGTTAGTCATTTGAGTACGATCTGTTAGGCAACTTAGGAAAGTAATCACTGGTCAGTATTAAGAAACCTTATCTTGATCTGAGCAGCAGATCCTCAGAGAATGATCAAGAGCTAGATGTAGTAAGTTTTTCCAGATGCTCACCTGTCTGAAACACAGGGCTTCTGCCAAGAGGAGACAGACAGAAGCTCTGATGATCAGTGCTGGTAGTTTCTCTATGGCAAGAGGTAAAGGCAGGGAACTGCTGCAGATTCTCTAAAGCAATATGGACTTCTGGATCTAGAAAGAGGTTTTAATTAAAGTAGTACACAGTGTGGGGGAAGGCAGTCAAACAAGTTGTTTCAGGATGCTAGTAGGTGCCAACTCAGAAATTTTCTTTCCATCCTCTATTGTACAAGCCCTGCTGCTGGATGGAAGAAGCTTTCAGGCTTCTTTCCCCCCACCTCCTTCTAGACTTTCTACTATAAAAACAGAAGTAAAAAATCCTGAGAGCTAGATGGAGATAACTGCCCTCAAATGCCCTCTCTCCAGTAATGCAAAGTATGCAGGAGCTGAATAACATCATTTAGCACCCTGACTAAAAACACTTTGTCACTCAGAACCATTTCTAAGTACATGCTACAAACTAAATGCCTTACAGTTCATCCTACAGCTCAAGAAATCAGCTCAGCACTAAAGATGACTGTGAACAGATTTAGTTACGCTCAAGCAAAACTTACATTTGCCCTGTTTCTTGTTTTCTTCTATCTCAATTCTGCGTTCACGACGTCGTTCATCACGAGCCTTCTTCTGCCGCAGGCGTTTCCTCTTCTCAATGTCATCTAGGAGCAACACACAGCATTGGATATAAAAGAACTACATCAATGCTTTGGCAGTGTTTCCTCCAGCTTTGTGAACAATGTGTTCAGTTATATTAGTAACAAGTCATGCTTACAAACTACATACGCTCTTGCAAGCAGTCAAGCCTTTTTATTCTTTGTATAATTTACTCTTTGTATAATTGTTGTCACAGCAGTGAGTAAAGGTGATTCTGTCTAGCAGTCAGCAGCCAGTTAATGCAAGACAAATAAAGCTGCTACTTCTCTAATTTTTTCTGCTATTAAGGGATAGGAAAGATTCCCTCCTTAGCGAGATTTTTAGAAAGGTAAATACCAACCTGAGAACAGCTCTAAGGTCTCCTTAGAGATGATGGGTGGCTTCAGAGCCAGTTCACAAATGCTGAACTCGCAAGTGAGGGGCAAGTGACAGAGGTAACGATGACGCTGTCTGATATCCTGATTAAAAAAAAGGCAGATACATAATTGCAAAATCTAGAGACTGCCATACTGATGAACAACAGTAGAGACTGAATGCCCATCCTTCATCAAATCAAATGGAGGGGAAAAAAAAAAACAAACAAACAGCATAGCAACACAGTAATTGCTTCATGAACTACAAAAAT